TTTGATCATTATACATTATAGACATGTATTAAACTATCGTATGTACTCCAAAGATATGTACAACTATTACATATCTATTTAATTACTATTACATAGCAATTAAAAAAAAACTTAAAAAAATCTAACAGAATGTGGCAGTAGGCTATGGTTAAGGAGGTAAGAATAGAGAAGAGTCTTCTTTCCTGCCTCTTTATTATCCACAATGTTCACAAAGATAATTTATATATTTTTACATTTATTTTCATGTTGTTACATCTGTACTAGTAAAAGCATACAAATTTAAATGCATTCTTTTCTAAATGCTTCTTTTCCAAATTTCCATTTTGTCCCTGCCCTTCCTCTATCCCAAATTTTCAATAGTGGGCATGAAATTATTCTTTGTACTAATTATAATGTGCAACATTTGGTTTAGAAATGTATGTGTGTGAATGAAAAAGCCTTAAAAAACATACATTGTAAGCAATAAACAGGAAAAAAAAATCAGGGTTACCTCTATCCCACTAAGATTGGGCATCAGAAAAAAAAAATAACCTGGGCAAAGGAAAATTGATAAATATACACGAATGAGATTTACCGAAGGACAAGAGACAGAATCCTGTGGTTAAAGACAAAGCAAAATATTACAGTTCACTCACCTGATGAGTGTATCTCACATCATAAGTGAAAACCAACTTTATCTACCTTCTGTTTGAGAGAATTTATGTAGATTCAATGTCTCCAGATTTACACATATAACCTAACCATAAATGTGAGCAGTTAGATCATTAACTTTGCCCCATTTTCCTTTTTACAATGTAATTAGACAGTAAGAAATGCTTCCAAAGTGGGAGAAACTTGGAATAAAATGGGATGTTATTGAATAAAGCCACTTATATGTGCTCGGGACTCCAAAATGTCAAGGCAGGAACATTTATCTGTGTCATAGAAAATATTTCCCGCAAGACCAGAAAGTGCTTAAATAAAATGGCTACTACTCAGTTTCAGATTTGGCACATTCCCGAAAGTACTCTTCATACTCTTCTACTTTTTCACAAGAGACTTTACGGCAGGAACATTCCATTGCATTCCATCTGCAATCAGCTATAATCCTTGTGAGCAGCAGTCCAGGCCAGCTTGCCAGCATAGCAGTCTTTTTAAAGCAGCTAACACATGTGGCTACAGTATATTCATTTCCAACAATTCTATGTTCAAAATGCATGCACTCTTTCGGTCTAAGCCCAGTGGCTTTTTTTAAAAACAAGCTATTAATACTTTCTAAACATAGCATCTTTCATACAAATGCCTCATTTAAAATCTCTCACTGAAAAATTATTTGGATTACATATTAGTCAAATTACTACAAAATTGCCATAGAAGATCAAAAACAGAAACAGAAAACCTAAGTAGAGAATAAAACGCCAAAAAATTCTAGAGGAAAAAGTTTCACATACAATAGGTATGGTAGTTCTCATATTATTAGCTGCTTCCCAAGAACAGATAACTCAGGAACCAAATGATCACAAATCTCTGTGCCATGACAAAGTTAAATATTTAGGTAGAAAACTAACCCTATTTTTTTCAAGGCTGATTCATCTAATGAGGATTTTTTTTTTTTTTTTTTTTATAGAGACAGGTTCTCCCTATGTTGCTCAGGCTGGTCTCAAACTCCCGGGCTCAAGCAATCCTCTCACCTCTGCCTCCCAAGTAACTGGGACTATAGGCACACATGAATTTGTTTTTTTTTTTGTAGAGACAGGGTCTTGAACTCCTGTTCTAAAGGAAACCACAACCCGCACACATCTTGGCCTCCCAAAGTGCTGGGATTACAGGCATGAGCCACTATACCCAGTCTTGAGACATAATTTATATACCACAAAGTTCACTCATTTACAGTGTACTATTCAATATTGACTTTTGCATCTCTCTTTGACAATTACTCACAGGATATAATCCACAGAATCATTTTGGCACAATGATTGACAAAGAAAGGTAAAACACAATGGTATGGCCATTTAGATTCCTACTTTTGAATCTTCTTTAAAAAAAGATTGTTTTAAGCCCTATCTATCAAGTTCAGAGAAGAATATAAGCAATGGAATGTTCAAAGTTATACATGAACTACCTGAAATGTGGGCTACAGCATCTAGCTAGATTTTTGTGGAATAAATATTTCCCACTGGAATACTCCTTTGCACACAGAACACTAGCAAATAGCGCACAAGCAGATGAGGTCAGAATGGTTACTTCAGCAGTAACTTGTGTCTGAAAGAATACTTTATCACAAAACTACAGATTTAAAGATAGCAGAGTCTATCTCTGTTTTGAGTAATAATTTGCCTACAGACCCATATCAAGTAATTTAGTAGTGCAGGTGGAAAAGAAACCAGCCTAAGTCATTTTTCACCTAAGCAATTCTATAGAGAAACAAGCCAGGAAAAAATGACTGATAATTTTAGCAATAATTTACAAGTTTAAAATATATTATAGTTATGTCCATGGTTCAACACAAAGAACCATTGAAGAGCAACTTTTAAGACCATCTTGGCAAGCTCAAGTCCTATTTAAAATCGAGAAAGAAAAACAATGAATCTTGGGGCCAACAGGTATTATTTCATCACATCCGGATTTAGTAAAAATCACCGTTTACACCTTTATCATCAAGATTTCAACTTAATAAGCATTAACACTAGCGAAATTAGTTCAGTTATTCATGGTTTCTCAATTGTAAGAAGTAAAATAAATGGTCCATATTTACATATACTGCAGCAAATATCACAGAGGGGAAAATATCCAATGGATCACTCAGAATAGCAAAGTTCAAACACACGTTTGAACACAAATTTCACACACAAATGTTCATTTATTCTGTTCACAGCAAAAAGAGAAGGGAGGGAGGAAAGGGAAGGTAAGACATATAATTGATAGAAAACAACATGTACTCACTGGTCGAGTTGCCTTGCATCTGAATGATGCATTTAGACTCCTTGCTGGTCTCCCGAGAATTGAAGGGCCTCACCCGGACAGCCACCTTCACTGAGGCTCCCGACATTCTGATGGCCTTGTTATATATATGCAATCCACAAATAAAAAAATCAAATCTTCTTTTGAAGTTATATTACGTTTCCTTTAAAAAGAAAGAAATTCCATACAACATAGTCAAAATTAAAGAAAGTATGGGCTAACTTAAGCTGAAGAGCTACTATGTTAGTTCTATTTCCGTTTCCATTTCTAAAAACGTCATCCCATTTTTTCCCCTGCATATCTTGTATTTTCAATAAATTACCAAATAAAAAAACTAAAGACTGAAATTTTTTCCTATTCTATTATCTTTCTCATACTTAAAAAAAATCCTGAACTTATTAATAAAAAAT